TGACTAAGGTATGCTTGAGGAATGCTGAGCTCAACTGTTGTACTTGGCAAATTTGCTGCTTGATTTTCACTGCTTACAGTATAAGAACAAAATAATTAAAAAAGAGTACCTTCAAATTTTCAAATCAATAAAATTGACTACAAAAACATATTACAATTAAAAAGGAGAAACAAAAATGAAAAAAAAAAAAGACAGAAGGGACCATCAACTTGGTTACCCGTATTATCAGTTAGTGTTTCTAACATGCAATGGTACACCATCCAGTATCATGTTTTAGCATAACCAGTATCACCAGATAATGTTTTACTAATAACAGTTTCTTTGTTGTTTTATATGAAGAAGGGGGAAGGTCGTTGTTAACAGCTAAAGCTCAAAGGACAGTTACAAATTGATTTTTTAAAACATTGATTCAGATCCAGATCTCGCACGACTTTGGGCAGGCTAACTCTATATAAATATTTAGAATAAACTACAGTTTCACTTGCAGTTTGGCACATTGCAACACAAAAACTCTGTTGTTTATTTTGTAATAGTTTACTACCTCAAACTTTCACTATTAGACAATAAGATAAACCCATTGGTTTAATCACAGCATAAATCTTCACAGGCTTTAAAACTCTTCCGTAAAGTTTGGAAAAAATTAAAATTCTCAGGTTTCTTCTTCCTAACAAATAATTGTATCAAAATCATAGATTATCCTTTTCAATATGTCAAAACTATAAACTTTGTTTTAGAATTTTGAACAAAAGAATATATCATAGGTTATTTTGATTACAAAAGAATTTTGAACAAAAAACAATGTTATGGCCCCAAATTGGTTCTAGTTATGATTTGTTGTGGAAAGCAGATAAGGGCTTATTAAGAGAGAAACCTTCGGTCTCTTAATGATAGTGCTCATTAAGAAAGAACATTTTAAATCTTTTCGTTAAGGGCTTGTTTAGAGTGAACCTTTCATTTCTGAGTTTAGAAAAGAAACTTATATTTTTTGGAACAAGTACTTACCTTTTTTTATTCATAGGTACTGCAAATTTATATACATGTGTAGAGACAAGATAAGATCTTAAAGCTATCCCGGAAGGAAGAGATAGCCCTTGAATTTCCCGATAACTCCCAAACTGTCAATAACCTCTTCCTACATCTAGAAAAAACAAAAACATACAGTTTAACACAAAAATTGCCTAAGAACTGCCACAAATTAAATCTACTAGAAACTGTCTAGGAACTGCATAAAGATCCACTTTTTTCTTCTTGTCTCCATGTGTATGTCATTACTATAAATCCATTAGTCTTTCCTCAAGGAATTTCATGACTTTACTGGTCTGGTCAACATATGACTCCCTCACTCAAAAGCAGGCTCTTCCTCAAGCATGCAGGAAATCTACCTTGAAGTCAAGAGCCTTTATACTCAAAAGCAACCCTGTCATATTCCCTCTCCAATCTGCCTTGCTCTCTTTCTATTTGATCACGAGCACTGAATTGGGCAGTGTATTCTCATAGGAATAGGACAACTTTCCTATCCTAATCTAGTAATAATACTTCCCTATCACAAAACTAGTAATACTACTCGTTTAGGCTTTTTATTTTTTGTTTTATTTAGAATTTCTCTTTGGTGTATGTTTCTCCTAATATTTAGTATCATATTCTGACAACATTTGGTATTGGTCGACTCAATTCATGAGCATGTTTGACCCAAAGAAAAAGATGTCTGTTTTAGCCATTTTGATTTATAAGACAATGGTGCATAAGAAGGAAAAAAATTTAAAATATATTTAATTTTTTGGCTTATAAGCCATGCAATAAAACATATGTTATTTTTTATGCTTTTTGCCAAAGTGTCCCCGTTATAAATTAACTATTGTTCTTTCATGTGTTCCTTTTTGTAATTTTATCAACATTCAACTTGTAAGTACGTTTTATACTTTTTTACCAAAGAGTCGAGCTTTATGTAGAGCTTATAAGTAAAACAAAAATATAATAGCCAAACATATTTTTTACTAATTTCAAGAGCTTATAAGCTTTATGAGACTATATAAGCGCTATGTGCTTATAAGCCAACAAAAAATAAGCCAAAGCAAAGGACCAGTTAGTACCTAGACACCTATATACATATGTAGGTTGTCACGTTGCTAGTAGAAATTGAATTAGAGAGAACAAGATAGGAGAAAAGGATCACCTTCCCAGAATGTTTCTCACACCAAAGCCAGAACTAACATCAGTCATTCCCCTAGGGGTACCATCCCTGACAGCCTGGAGAAAACAGAAAAGAGAAACCTTGAATCAAGCAACTTAAATCCTCCACATAATTATGATGATTAGAAACAAAAGGGAAGGAACACAAACCAAAAAAATATCAATCAGGATATCTCTGTCACAACTATCTTAATAACATAATGAAACTTTCAATGCCCAACCTACCAACCTGAGGTGTCCAAGATCTTGGAGAGGGTGGCCTCTCCAGCGCCAGTCCGTGTACAGGCCTCTCACTGCCATATGAATAGGGGACACAATCAAAATTAGGAGGACCCATGCCATATGAAAAGGTAAGCTGGTGATGATGATCAAGGGACTGGGAAGGAACAGGAGAATGATCAATACTGGGAAAGGATCCAGCTGAAGAGGTGTATGGACGTGGAGACACTGGGTAATGTCTTGACCTAAAAGGAGGAGGTGGCATGTCTGGAAAAGGAGGTAAGAAGGATGGACCAGTAGCAGTTGGAAAGGAAGGTCTCATTGGAAATAAGGCTTCCCTTAGCCTGCCTGTTATATGAAACAAAGCATCCTGTACACACTGCAAGCTGCCAATAACCTGACAAAAGGCACCAACTCCCCACTGAAAATACCATCCTAAAAAATATAATAGACAATGATAGCAAATGAATCAAGACTAATCTTTCCAATGAGATAGCAAATACAAGTCCAAGATAAAGTTGTAGAATAGGCATCTGAAATATTCGGGAAAAGAAACAAATTTTTTTTGGTCAGGGAAAGAAACAAAATTAAGACTTGTTCCCTTCAGCTGACACAGTAATAATATCACCAAGAAGAGGGGTTAACAGAGTGTACAGTAATATTTTCATAAAACATTTATTTATTCAACTAAGAAACTCAATGCACCTCTAATTATTTATTCAACTAATAAACTCAATTCAACTCTAACATCAATTTTCAATAGAAAATTCTAATATTTTTTAGCTAGCTGACAGAAAGAATACTAAAACGCGCATAAAAGTTGTTACTATGAGAGAAATAACAAGAGTTTATGCTACTCAACATCAAACAGAAGATAATAAGTTGGGTTCAAAATTTACAGTGGAGTTTTGCTGAGGCAAAAGTAATTGAGCTCATTCTATTTCTAGGATATACCTGCAAACAATGATATTTTATTGAAAAAATACAATTTACAGCAAGTTCACACATTCAAATGGGTCATGTAAAATTAAACATGTATTTTTTGTGGCAAAAAAAGTTACATAGTCTTGCCCAAAGAGTATAAGTTTTCCATTCAATCACTCCATACTATACTGTCATTCTGTTTGGCTTTGCTAGAAGAAAGATCATTGAAATGCTAGGTGCCTTATGAGCAACTTAAAACAATTAGGTATTGAATCTTAATAAATACAAAGTTATATGTTAAGGTACAAATGTTTACTGTAAAAATAAATAATAAAAAGGAAGAGTACAATAAAATAGGGGCAAAATCACAGATAATGAAAGCAGATAGATCTGCTTGATCTCCAGCAAGCTTACTAAGGTGCTTGATAATGTCAAACCTACACGAATAACCTAGAATCCACTAGGTTTCATTTGAATCCACCAAAAAGATAAGAATTTTGGAATCCACCAAAAACAGTAATATTCATTGAAGAAAATATAAAATTTGTTAAAAACTGAATTTCCATCTTACAACCCATAAGACTTACAAATTTATAGTGTTCCCTGTACTAATCCCAAAAGAACAAGGATTACTAAATAAGAAATCCAGCACTAAACTAATTATAGAATCCTTAACTAAAGAGGAAAATAACTCGCAACAAATTTAGAATATAAATAATAACTTAGGAATAAATTAGTTAGTCTTGGGCTTCCACATGTGCATTTATAAAAACACAAATATGTAAAGACATCATTTAGAAAAATAAAGGCATTTTCCAAAATGACCAACAACCTTAGGCAATGAACTGTATAAAAAATTCATAAAGTTTAAATTTTAAATAATGCAAAACTACAAAGGTAAATGTAATTTTTCCTTTACATATTTTGTCAAATAAAGGGAAGCAACAAGGATAAATAGGTAAAGGAACTTGTTAAAAGAATAGTTTAAGCTAAGGTGCAAAAAGTCGCCATAGGATGCTTTCTTTTTTAGGCTTAAAAGGTGCTTAAAGCACTAAGCAAATAAGTGCTCATAAAGAACTTTAGTTTACCAAATAAGGAGATTAGGTTGTGATGCTCACAGAAACCCAAACACTGCCTTAGGAGCTCCAAACTTTTAACCTCCCAAAAACTATAAATTAGGTTGTGATGCTCTGCCAGTTGGAATTTTCCAGCCAATATTATTTGAAAATCAAAGGCCCCACTCAGAATTTCCTTCTTCGCTTGGGAAGCTGCTAAAGAACGCATTCTAACTATGGAGGATAGATGCTATCTTTGTAAATCAGATTTGGAAACTTGCAACCACCTTCTCCTCTGGTGCCCTTATTCTCACTCTCTCGGATCTCTAGTTTACAGCATCATGAATTTATCCCGGGTTACTGCTGGGACTGTCTGTGATGAACTTACTACCTGGGAGGGCCTTTACAGGAGAAAAGCTAATCATAAAATTATACCTCTAGTTATTTTTTGGATTATTTGGAAAGAAACGAATAGTAGAGCTTTTGAGGGAAAAGAATTGAATTTTGCTGCTATCAAGGATAAATGGTTTCATCTTTTTAAATCTATTGTACTTGGACACAACCTTGATAGCATCGATGATTATGGTTCTATTGTAAATATACCTATTGACCTATAAATCTTTTGTAAACGGGCGACATCTCCTTGGTGCCTACTATTATTACATCTCATACTTTTATTTCAAAAAAAATATATTATATATATCCCATACTTGCTTCATATCGAATGAACAAGACAACTCCATGTTTGAATGTGCACCTTATTTCACTTAGAGCTTATTTCAGACACTTAATGACTCTAAGTTCTCCCAAATTTGATAAGAACAGAACATTATAACAAGCTTGTTTGATTGTTTGATTCTTAGTGCTCCCCAATTTAACATTTCTTCATAGGTACTGTTTGATCCTGTTCTCCCAAATTAACAAGCTCAAGCTAATAGATACTCATCACACACATTGTGTCAACTGACAAAGGAAAAGGCTAATTTATTTCTTAACATAGTCACCCATGATATCCTGCAAAGGAGAGTTTTTCAAGCAGAGTTAAGAATGTCTCAGCAGCAATTTAATCATTTTTTTTTAAATAAAGCAATGTAATCATGAAATGTAAGATTAGTCAAACTGTATCTTTTGTAGATTCAGCACCGATGGGAGCATTAAAATGGAAGATAAATAAAAATAAGCAACCAAAACAGATGCTTCTGCATTACCTGCACAACTTCTTCATGTGAGGATCCACCTTTTTGAACTTGTTCCTTTGGGAACACTCGGATGCTAGCACCAGTAGCTCTTCTCATTTCGTTTATTATGTGGCCTCCTTTACCCAGTAAACAACCTACCTGCTGTGGATGTACAAGGAGTCGAGCAATAGCTGCAGCACCAGGTTCAAATCCAATTTCTGCAATTCTAGTTTGCACACGAATTACAGCATCCTGTGCAGGAGAATGTCTTTGCTCTGTGTTCTGTGATAGGTTAACACACGGAGATCTTTAGTGAAGTAAAGAGGCAATAACTTTTGCAAATTTACAATATATAAGCACATTTTGGATAAAGAAAAAAGTCATTCATGATCTTTCTTTTCTTTAGTGCAAGGGTGTGGGACTCAGTGGGCTTTATATGGTCAATACAGAAGACTGAGCATGATCTAGGAAAAAGAAATTGAATCTCACGAATAATCTGAACAAATTGCATATGAGACCTTAACCATTAACCAGATCTAGTGTATGATAGGTCCATATCCCCCCCGCCAGGTGAGTGCAGTAATAAATTTACCTTCAAAGATAGCCCAAAAGCATATTTGCAGTAATTGTGCAAAAAAAAAAAAAAGAGGTTGCTGGAAAGGAAAGGACAGCACTGCTAAAACTGAATCGACAGAAAACTTACTTGGCATTCATTGGTCAAGATACACTATACAAATAACATCTACAAATTGAGTTAAGGGTCCAAATTGTTATGCAGGGACAATCAGAATCAGAAAGCACCATGATTACCCAAGTGCAAGAGTACAATTCTTCACTAAGTAGTAAATAATTATAAATCAAAGTAAGTCAAGTTTCCATGCCTCTCGTGCAGATATCACAACAACCCGCTCATCTGAATTGAATCCAGCATCAGTAACCTTGATAGATGCCCCAGTTTCATTTTGCAGGGCCCGTATTACAGATCCACCTTTCCCTATCAAGCTACCGACCTTGTCTGCCTGACATAACAATTTGAATACAATCTCTTCTTCTATAAACATTCTGTTATGGACTCCTATACTTTCAGACCCTGGATTAGAAGAAAAACCCCTTGGTTGATAATCCATAGCATGAAGCCCAGATGCATAACTCCGTGGAGAAAATGGATCCACCTGTGTATGCATAGCATTTCCCGGAGGCACTGACAAAGAGGGCCTGGTATGACCAGAGTTTGCCATATCTACCCTAGGGTTATCTTGAAGACAGCTAGAAATGGACAGGAGTGCTTTCTTTACAGCCGACAAGTTCCCTGACATCTGCAAAATTATGGTCTTCATATTAGATTGAAGGCATGAGATAGATAACAAAAAACAAAAATATGAATATGATATCCATAAGGAACATACTTCATAAATATCATAAGAGAGAATTCAACTGTTGAATATTCTATACATAAGAAGATGATTATTTTAAGAAACTTTGTACTGGAAATTTAAGAGTTAAATATTATTGAGTTAATGAGCGGGTAATAAAAAAATGGAATTTAGAATGATTAATGAGTTTAATAAGCTCCTCATAATAGACACAATAACAGTTCAATTGATAACTCTGGTTTTTAATATGTCAGATTAAAAATAATTGCAAGTAAACTAGTAAGGGAACCCAGAAGCTACACCCTATTTCCTTCACAAACATTGCACTATATTGCTCATGTAGCACCCAAACTTTAGAATGCTTAAACACCTCCATAAAACTAAAACCCATATGCAGAAGCATGCACATCTTCAGCAAGCATGAATTTTGAACCTGTAGTACTGCTACACTTTTGGCTTCTCATTGAGCTTTCCAACAAACAGGGAATATTCTTGCAAGCAGAAGGCCACAATGTGATGGCATCTTCTTTGTGGTGCCCCACAGCTTATGATTTGTAGTGCATGATTTATGGTCTTTTGAGAATTAATTAGGTCATTGCGAGGTCAGTCAAAAAGGAATTTTGGGCTTGGGATGAATTACATAAAAAGAGAGAGTTTGTAAAATTGATTCCGTTGACCATTTTTTGGGTCCAATGAAAAGAGAGAAACTAGAGAGTATTTGAGAATAAAGAGGTAGAAAGTTATAGATTGAGAGAGAAATTATTTCACTATTCTAAATCTATTTTATTAAAACATGACATTATTAGAATGAAAATTTTGGAAATGTCATTAACATACAAACATAATTGTAATTTTTTTGTACATGGGTGCTGCTCCTTGGTATTTTATTAATACATATTCACACTTTTTATTTTTAAAAAAAATTGTGATGGCATCTTCGACTTCAGAGATGAAAACAAAATAAAATAGAGTTGAAGCTAGAAACAAAAATTTCCCTCTCAAAAATTTGGAAACGCCACGATATCATCTCTAGAATTGCAATTTTTTTGAAGGAACACCATGGAAAATTCATTTAAGCTTGGAGCTTTATCCCCCAAAACTCATTAAAGGATTCAAGAATCCACTCCTCAAAGAAAAGTCTCCCAAGCGAATCTCAATCTCACCTTTTGAGAGAGTAAAAACCAAGCCATCTAAGGATGGCCAGCAACTGAAAGACTCCTTATGATAATCACTACATCTCTAAGACACCCTTTACCTCAAAACTTTACCCTCCACCACCACTTTGTCAACATAGTTGCAACGTCTATGGTGGCTTGCAAGATTAGAAGAAACTTATACTCACTTTCTAGAAGCCAAATATTTGATATGTGTCTGAGTAACCTCCTCCATTAGCAACAAATCTATGAGCTTCATTGTCACTACTCTCCGTTTGTAACAACTTCTTATAACATTCCAATCCCATCATCAAACAATCCCTCCTCGCCTCTGCATCCCAAATCCACTTCACTATTTGGTTCTACATTTTATATGAAGCAAATTATTGACAATCTTGAAACTAGCATGACCAAAGATGGCAATAGGCCGGTTAGAGACAAGTTTCGTGAAACTCTTGCCATCAACTCATTCAAACAAAGTTGTGCTCTCATACATGAAACTCTTTGTACAATTGCAAAGAGTTCTACTGACTAAATTGTGATTTCGTAATGCTAATTAACAAAAAGAGAGGAAGGAATGCAAAAATTCAGCAGGGGATTGAAGTAAACAATAACCAAATCATCAACCAGAGACACTATAAAAATGAATGCAAAGCTGCATACATTACATATACTAAAAAAAGATTACCTGAATCAACTCGTCCCCAGGAAAAGCACAAGCGGGAATCTGATCCTTGGGAAGAACCCTAATGTTAGCCCCACTCTCTTGCCTGATCATTTCCACGACCCTCCCTCCCTTCCCCAGAATACAACCAACCTGATTACCTCCCACCAGAATCCTACATATAGCCTCGCAATCCCTCTTCCCCTCTTCATGATTCCCACCCTCCTCACCACCGCAACCACCAGCATCGTCCCCTATCACTATCCTCTCCAATACCATAACCAGCGCCTTCTGCCCCGGTGACAACGGCTGCTCGCGACTGTTACAATCTCCATTAGGATTCAACTCCGAACGATCATTTCCCTTATCATGGCTAGGGTTTTCTGCGTCGCCGCTGTTGGTGTTATCGCCGGCACTAAAGTTTTTGGCGGTGGTTGTAGCGGAAAGCTTGGCCGCGGAGGAATCAGAGACAATTAAAACGACGCGTTCGTCGGAAGGGATTGAAGGGTCGTCAAGGACACGGATTTTAGCTCCGCTGACGGACTGCAGGTGACGAATGACGGAGCCGCCCTTGCCGATGATGGCGCCGGTTCTTGAGGATGGGCAAAGGAGCAAGAATTGGATTGGTTCAATCGTTGGGCGCTTGAAGGAAGTGTCCATGAAGAATTTGCAGTGACCGAGATAGAGGTGAAACTTCTGCTACGCCATGAATTTGATCATTACTCAGTCGACTATCATTTTGACAGTTTTGAAACTGTGTGTCTCCAAAAGTAAACGTAAGTGGTGCTTTTTTTTTTTTCTTCTGCAGACGTTTTTTTAGTTATAAAAGTGTTATTAAAATATCTTTTTAATAAAAAATTATTATGTATTGTAAAAATAATTATAAACAAATTATTAGCTTAAAAATTGTGTTTTAAAAATAATTATTTGTTAGATAATTAAACTTTATTTAATTAATAGTTAAAATTAAAACTTTAATTAATTTATAATAAAGAATCGAATGTGAAGCGGCAACAATAAAGAGAAGAAATGAACGAAAACAATAAAGAAGATAAAAGTAAAACGATAATCTTTCTACTTATATAAATAGGTTTAGGAAAAGTGAAAATACAAACAAGTGTGAGGAAAAAAAATAATAATTAGAACGTGAGATAAAAAAAATTAAATAAAATTTATTAGCTTCAACAAGGTAACACAAAGGATTTGGGGTGTGAAATTTTGTTTTGTGAGTGTTGTAAAACTTATGTTCTTTTTATCAATAAAGTATTGAGTATTTTTTAATTTATAAATTTATTCTCTAGACAATTATAATAAAATTAAATTGCTAACATCTGGCATTAAAGTCGTAAAGTTTTATCAATATGACTTATAGTTCAACAACAAGAGTCCAAATTCAACAAGTGCAGTCATTAATTTTTAAGTTTGATGGTAAAAATAATTTTGCGATATGGAAGCATTTAATGAAGCTGTATTTGAGAAGCAATGGTTATGGTGAAATTTTAGATAATAGTTTTGCTAAAAAGAAAAAGTCGTCAGCATGAGGTTTACAAGACTTGATTCGTGATCATTCATTAAACGAGAAGGCTTCATTTTTAATTTGTCAGTTTGTGGAGTTGTCAGTCCTAAAAAAATATCTCATGCCAAAACAGCAAAAGAGGCTTGGAATATTTTACTTAAAACATATGAAGATGTAGATTCAGTCAAACAAATACGACTAAAAGGATTGAAAAGACAGTTTGAGCTAACAGAGCAACGTAACGACAAAAATATTCGTGATTATTTTTTACGAATGGAGAAGTTAATAAATGAGATAAAAACTAACGGAGATCAAATAAATGAGAGAGATGTCATGGCGAAGATCTTGTGTACGTTGTCAAGTTGATTCGACTACGTGGTAACAACTATTGAAGAGTCCAAAAATTTGGACACCATGATCCCTAATGATTTACAAGCTTCTTTAGAGTCACGAGAGATAT